TCTTATATATAAAGTCCTGTAGGTTCTGCCTAAAGAAAGGCAGACTTGCCTCCAAGCCCCAAGTCTTTCCCTTTGGCCCTTGGGAAGGAGGCTTCCCCTCATTCCATTTCCTAAAGGAAGCATTCATTACAAATAACGAAGACCTCACCAGACTGGCCAGTATATTAATACAGAGCTTACACTGTGGCAATCAGGAGCATTTTATAGTTCCTCACTTTTCCTGCAGCAAAGCCAAGTCTTTGTACTTGGGTGAGCCATTTTCCTGGACAAATCTCTAAAGCAAGTCCCTTAAGACCATCACACAGGGCCTGGAAATAACAACATGAAGAAAGAATCTCATGAAGAATCATGAGTTAAAATAAGTTAAGGAGGAAGGTGGACTAAATTTCCACACAGTCAATACAAACTGTTCTGGTCCTTAGACGACTTCGTGTTTATTTCATTCTAACCTTGGAAGACTTCATCACTCTACCTGACTAAGACAGAAGCACCCTGGACAGCTTTAGGACATGAAAATCAGCTCTCCCACTGATGTATCCTATACCATCCTACGAAATGAAAACCAAGTAAAAGGCTTGCTCTAAGAGCTGTGTGAGAGTTGGAAGGGGCTTTGAAGTCATTCAAATGTTCTATTCTGTACTGGAATTCCTTCCACAACATTCTTGATTCACAGTCAATCACCTAGACCCCTGTTCAAACGAGGGCAATGACCTTGTGAGGCTACCTGTCCCGCTGGCGGATAATTCTTGTTTGTTATTAGATTTTTGTTATTGAACTTAAATCTGCTTTGTGTAACATTCATTAAGCCTTATTCTGCCCACTGGAGTACCTTAGATTGTCTCTTCACTTTTTTTTTTTTAACATTTGTCCCTCAATTAACTGAGAAGAAGCATTCTAACTTCTCTTTTCCAGGCAAAGCATCCTCATTTACTTCAACCATTCTTCATTCAACATGGTTTCTGAAGCTTTCACAAGGCTCACTGTCCACTTCCGAGTGCATTCCAGATTATCAGTGTCCTTCAGAATAGGAATAATTTTTTGGCTTAATGCAAATATGGAAACTGCCTACTCTATGACATGTGGCTGAATCTGGTAAATGTCGTCCTTATCGTACTTGACATTGCTACATAAGATAATGAGAAAGAATGGTTATTTCAGAATAAATAGGTTAAAAAAAAAAGTATGTTTAAAATCCTAAATAACATTCAAAAGAAAAATGGGAGCTACACATAGAAATGTTACAAAAAAGATGGTTGATAACTGCTGATGTGGACAGACAAGCAGGCACTTTATTTTCTAATCAAATACATGTGAAAACAAAAAGCTCTAAGAATTTTGCCACTGCAACCCAGTATGGGTGTTTAGTCATAGATTTCTGAGTCAACATTGTTGAAAAGGGCTCTGGGCCTGTTTCAAAATGAAAAGTTATAACTACATTTTCCCACCTAAATTATACTAGAATGTCATACTTTGATGTCACAAATTAAAATGAGGGTAGACCCTGCCACATCGCAAAAGATTTTAAAAATGCAAATATTAAAGACTTAATTGAGGTCACAAAGGAACCAAGAAAATCAGAGGCTAACTTAAGCTAAACAGTGAAGAGATTTTCCTGATGATTTAGTAATCCTCCAAATGGTATCCAACTTTCTCTCTGGAATCACAAGAAAACAGACTAGACAAAGTATATGGTAGCAACCAAGTGGAACCCAACTACCAAGAAATGAATAGTAAATTTTTCTCATTTGTGTTTAGATCTCTCCTCTAACTTTTCTTTCTGCTTTCATTTCCTTTTTCCTTTACTTAATTTCTAATTTTCAAACCAAACACATATTTTAAGCTTTTAAATCCAAATGTCATAATTATAACCCTTTTTTTTTTAAAATAAGGGGAATAATTCTCATTAATAGCATTACCAAATATACCAACAATTTTCAACTGTCAAAGAACTAAGATTTAAAAAGGTAACTTTAATGAACATAATATTTCTTTGATGATTAAGAAGGCATTTCATAACCTTAGGGTCCCAAGGACATCATTATTACCTAGTATTTGCATTATCTTCTACATTTTTCAATGCTTGTGTTTAGTTTTCAGAATCCATGCAAAAGGGAGATTATAAAGAAAAGTCAATATCTGCCGCAGTGTAAATTGTTAGGAAGAGAAACACACTATAATAAGAAAACAAAAATAAAAATCTATAATAAAATTGAAATTCTAATTTTAATCCAACTTGTTAAAATGGTATAACTGGCATTTTTTAGTCATTTTGAGCAAAGCTATGACGGTTTCTAGAAAAGTGTTCTGTAATACTTTGATTAATATATAACTTGTTACTGGTAAGGCTTATCCAACTTTTTATCAACCCTGAAAGGCATGAAAAGGCATTTCTAGCATAATGGTAGAGAGAAATTGTAGTACTGGGACGTAACTGGGCTGAGAACAACTAAACTACTAAGGTTTTACTACTATAATTGATTAGTGTGTTATTATAGAAAGCCCAGGGGCAGTGTGTATCGTGTGTACCTGATACAGAAGGGACATTCACTCATTTATAGCAACTGTAACAGGTAGAGTCCCTAGGTGGTATAAATGATTAACTCACTTGGCTGCTAACCGAAAGGTTGGAGATACAAGTCCACCCAGAGGCACTTCAGAAGAAAGGCCTGGTGATCTACTTCTGAAAAATCAGCCACTGAAAACCCTATGGACCACAGTTTTACTCTGACACACAAAGGGTTGCATGAGTTCCAATCAACTCAACAGAAACTGGTACTGGTATGTAACAGGTAATATGCTAGGCCCAGAGTTGACTGGGACTGATACAGTTAGCAAATATTCCTACATAATAATAATCACAATAAATCACACGGTAATTAGTTAATAAAAAGATGCCTACTAGTAAAATTTTAAAGAAAGCCACTACAATCACCTAGTGATAATCACTTATGAATATGGATTCATCAGAGAATAATATGTTCTTAATAATGCTGCCCAAAGATGCTCAGAGTCATTAGCCATCAGAGAGATGCAAACCAAAACCACAATGAAATGCCATGTCACTCCACTAGGATGGCTAAGGTTAAAAAAAAAAAAAAACAGAAAATAACAAATGTTGGCGAGGATGTGGGGAAATTGGAACCTTTATCCACTGTGAGTGGGAATGTAAAATGGTACAACCATTGTGGAAAAGTGTGGCGGTTCCTCAAAAAACTAAAAACAGAACTACTGTATGACCCAGCAATTCCACTCCTAGGTATATACTCAAAAGATTTAAAAGTAGAGACTCAAAAACAGACCTGTACACCAATGTTCACTGCAGCACTATTCACAATAGCCAAAAGGCAGAAACAACTTAAATGCTCATCAACAGACGAACAGATAAACAAAATGTGGCACATACATACAATAGACTACTACTCAGGGAATAGGAGAAATGAAGTCTTGACACATGCTGCAGTATGGATGGAGCTTGAAGACAGTATGTTGAGTGAAATAAGCCAATCACAAATGGGCAAATATTGTATGATCTCACTTACATAAAAGGACAAGAAAAGGCAAATGTATAGAGACCAAAGTTTATTAGCGGTTACCAGGGGTGTGAGGGAGGGAAAAATTGGGGGTTAATGGTGATGGAAAAAGCACACTGATTAAGAGCAGGGTTGTGCAGCTGATTATTGTGATTGCTGTCAGTAACCCTAACCCTAACCCTAACCCTAACCCTAACCTGTAAGAAGTTGAAGTGGCAAAAGTTGTGTGAGAGATACATTTACAATGACAAAAAAAAAAAAAAAAGTTGTGTGACAGATATATTCACAATGGCAAAAAAAAAAAAAAAAAAAAGTAGCTGCTGAAGCTGCTTATGCACAGCCAAACACCTCATGGGATTTAGTTCCTTGGTTTGGAGGTTTAGGGTCATGGTTTCATGGGACATCCCAGTTAACTGGCCTAGTATCGTGTTTAGTGCTTCTATTCTACCTCCTAGTTTGTTGCTTAGTGCCTGGGGTCTTAAAAACTTGCAAGTGGCCATCCAAGGCACAACAACTGGTCTCTATTCACCTGGAGCAACAGAGGAAGGAGAGTCAGGAATAGGAGGAGGATATGGAATGTGTGGCTATTTGCCTCCATGAACAACTGCCTCCTTTGCCATGAGACCAGAAAAACTGAATGGTACCCAGCTACCATTACTGAACATTTCGATCAAATATTCCACAGAAGAATCTTGATCAAAAGGGGGAAAATGCAGAACAGAATTTCAAATTCTCACAGACTCTAAACTTTCTAGAGCCATGGAGGTTAGATGAACTCCTAAAACTACTGACCTGAAATAATCTTTAAACCTGAAACCAAAAATATCCCCTGAAGTCTTCTTAAAATCAAATAACAGTTTAACTAGTAAAAAAAAGGTCTGCCTTGAGCATTGTGCTCTTTTAAGAACTATCTGTATGGATTCAAACTGACAACAGCAACTCCAAAGATTAGATAGCAACCTTAGGGGGCAGTGAGTTTGTGGTAATGGAGGAGGAACAACTCAGAAAAGGAGAGTGAGAATGGCTGCACAACTCGAAGAATATTATCAATGTCACTGAATTGTACGTGTAGAAACTGCTGAATTGGTGTACGTTTTGCTGTGTATATTCTCAACAACAATAACAAAATAAATAAAATTTAGGGGGAAAAAAAAAAAGGAATGCTGCCTATCTGACTCCTTAGAACTCATGTGCATGGCATGCCATGTGGCAGGGGCCAAGAAAACCAAGTCTTACTGCCATGCCTGCTACTGATATACTTCCAAAGAGTCAGGTTAAAGGAATAGAGGGGGTATTTCAGCCTACATGTCATAAAGATCTGACTTGGAGGTGGTGGAGAGGGCAGGATACACATTTTGAGGCTCTCAAAATGACGTATGAATCTCACAAAAGAAAAGCAAAAGCTTTAAAAAATCTTCTATGAAGAGCAGAGAGCACAAAGCCCAAAAGGAAAAATACGAAGAACTTTACCCATTTACTGTATTTCAAAGGTCCAGTGAATCCCATGGCTTCGATGATCTTTGTGAGGGCACCAACCTTCTCCTCGACAGGCTGTGGGGAATCCTTCACAGTAAGAAGCTATTAAACCAGACAAGGAGACCAGAATTAGTTGCAGAAAATTTTTTTTTAAAACAATGCTTTCATTCCTCATTAGGTCTCAGGGCATTTTTATTTTTTTTTCTCCACTTAGAATTTTTAATTTTCATTTTTTAAAAGCATCTTATCACTCAGTGCAAACACACTTGGAATTCTAATAGATGTCCTCCAAATTTCAGAGCAAGATATACCACCTCATTGACCATATACCTATGAACCCATGCTCAGGAAATGATAAACATTTTGGGTATCAGAATAAAAATCTACAGATGATGATGGTGGGATAATTTGGAAACAAACAGCAAGAATGGTTGCACAACGTGAAGAATGTAATGTAATGTAACATGAACATCACTGAAGTGTACATGTAGAAATTGACAAAATACTGTATGTATATCAGTACCAAAAAAAAATTCTATGGAAAGAAGTACTCTTAAAAGACAATCTTGACCTCATATCCCAAAGAACAACTGTGAGAAGAGGAATGGTCTACGTTTATTGACACAACAAGAAAGCGAAAGAAAAATACTGTGTGAAAGCAGTCAAAAGTTGCTCAGAAATCTGGATTCCATGAGAATCTGAAATTCTGTTCTGCATTTTGCCCCTTTTGTTGTGGACTCTTCTACAGAATCTTTGATCAAAATGTTCAGTAATGGTAGTTGGGCACCATCTAATTCTTCTGGTCTCATGGCAAAGGAGGCAGTTACTCATGGAGGCAATTAGCCACACATTCCATATCCTCCTCCTATTCAGTAATGGTAGCTGAGCACCATCTAGTTCTTCTGGTTGCATGGCAAAGGAGGCAGTTGTTCATGAAGGCAATTAGCCACACATTCCGTATCCTCCTCCTATTCCTGACTCTCCTTCCACCGTTGCTCCAGACAAATAGAGACCAACTGTTATACCTTGGATGGCCACTTGCAAGCTTTTAAGACCCCAGGCACTAAGCAACAAACTAGAAGGTACAATAGATGCACTAAACACAATATTAGGCCAATTAACTGGGATAATCCATGAAATCGTGACCCAAAACCTCCAAACTGAGGAACCAAATCCCATGAGGTGTTTGGTTGTACCTAAGCAGCTTCAGCAGCTATGAACCCCTGAAATTATTGCACTGAGATATTTTTTAAACCTTAAACCAAAAATATCCCCTGAGGTCTTCTTAAAACCAAATATAGTTTAGCTTATATAGTAACGAATGTCTGCCTTGAGATTATGCTCTTTTAAGATCTACCTATATGGGATCAAACTGACAACACCAACTCAGAAGATTAGACAGGAATCTTAGGGGGCAGTGAATTTATGTTAATGGGGAGGAATGCAATCAATGTCACTGAATTGTACATGCAGAAATGGTTGAATTGGTGTATGTTCTGCTCTGTATATTCTCAACAACAACAAAAATAAAATCATTTTTAAAAAGTCATCCAAAACCATAATCAACCATAAACATTCATGTATGTTTATCACTATAAAAATGTATATGTATATTACTATATGTATATATAGTATGTAATACCCAAACCCATTGCCACTGAGTTGATTCCGACTCATAGTGACCCTATAGGACAGAGTAGAACTACCCCATAGTGTTTCCAAGGAGCGGCTGGTAGATTTGAACTGCCGACCTTTTGGTTACAGTAGCCAAGCTCGTAGCCACTGCGCCACCAGGGATCTATACATTATGCATATCACTATAAATAAAATTGTATGGAAAGTACTCTTAAAAGAAAATCTTGACCCCATATCCCAAAGAACAGTTCTGAGAAGAGGAATGGTCTATGTTTATTGATATAACAAGAAAGAAAATATTTTTAAACTCTTGTATTGTTTTAAACTTTTGCATTCTTTAATGTTTTTAAACTCTTGTATTCTTTAACATAAAAAATTTTATTAATGACTATAGAAGATAGGAATTTTGCAGTTTGCAAATAAACTCCAAGGAAAATCTGTTCTAATACTAAGCCAGGATATCTAACTCATAAGAAATTCTCCAAAAGTTAAATATAACTTTAACATGTAATTTGTAAAGACCTTTTCCTCTACAGAGTTTTCAGGCAAGACAGTACAATGGAAGAAACACAGTACATGGACTCAGAAGTCTTAGGTTCAAATATTCAGTTGGTCTGTCACCATCCTGTGACCTTGGCAAGTCATTTCACCTCCCTGCACCTCACTTCTGTATTCTCAAAATAGGTGTAATAATTCCTTGCCTCATCCAGGTGACACTTTTGCTGAGATTCAAATAAGAACACTTGTGTGAAGGCACTCTATAAACATAAAGAGCACTAATAATTCTCACCTTGTTTGTGGTGTGATACTTTCTACTCATCTGTATGTCTACTCCAGGAATCTGTTCTGATCCACCACATGCTAGGGACTGGCTTATCTGCAGCCACAGGGAGGTAAAAGAACAGATGTTAGCAACACTGAGCATTCACTTACAGGGTTAATCTCAGCAAAGCTTCTTCAAATTAAAGACTACAGGATTTTTCCAACCTTGTTTATTAGCCCAGTTCCTGGTGATCTGATTATAAAGAGTAGCCAAGATCAGTACGTAGAATGGTGTCAGTACAGAGTAGGTGCTCAGTAAATATCTGCGGAACACTTGAATAAATAAAAGGATTCAGCCCTAGAAACCTGGAACTAAATCTGAGTCAAATCTAGGAACTAGAAGTGTGATACTCATTTAAATATTGGCATATATGGAAAAGAGCAGAGACTTTTATCAGTCAATTTTGAGTTTAAAACCTGTTTCTACCACTTAAAAGCTAGGTGACATGGGCAAATTACTGAACCTCAGTTGTAGTGAGAATTAAAGGAGATAATGTATGCAAAGTACCTTTCACTAAGTAGATACTCAATAAACAGTAAAAACTTCCATCATCATCATCATAAACATCATTGTTGCTGAGATGTGAATTTGCCTTCCTTTTATGTTCACATTGCATCTGTAAGCAATTTGGCAATACGACAGCCATTGTCTACAATAATTATGTTCCAGGTACTGTGCTAAGTGTATATTATATATTCCCTTATTTAATTCTCACCAAGAATTAGGTTGGTATTATTATAACCAAGAACAATAAACGTAGTTTTGGAAATAAATTCCAAAGGAAAAAAGCTATATGCAAGAAACCCTCATTGTAGCATTATTCACAAGAGTGAAACCTAGGGGAAAAAAAAGAAGTCCAGTAAAGAAATAGTTTATTAAATTAAGGTAGTCACTCAACGAAAGTCAGGTAGCCACTGAGATTATTTTGAGCAACATGAAAAAAAGGCTTTCTCAGTACATATACAATTATAGGAAAAATCATGATTGCATATGGGCAAGTCTAGCAAAGAACACACAGAAATAAAAAGAGTAGTTAAATAAGTAGGATTCTGGATGAATCTAAGAACCTAGTTTCCAAACTCTCAGTAATGTTATATTACCTTTACAATAAAAAGGGGGTGGGAACGGGACAAGGAGGGTTATCCCTTCAATTGTGGCATATTCTGAGAAGACATGGGACACATGGAATGAAAATGATTATTTTCTTTAATCCCAGTGAAGTAAAAATAGAATTTCTAATTGTAGAGAGTTACTATTACTTGTCTTTCCAAACAAGGACATTAAAAGATTAGTCAGGATTTTTCTGGTCCGTCCCAAGGACGCCTATGCTTTAATTCATAAGTATCAAGCAGGCTTTGTAAAACACAGACTAAACACAAAACACCTCTCATTACATCATATACATCAATGTAATGGTCCATCTAGAACACAAAACACTTAAACTGTTTCAACTAGCTGTGGTTTGGATTCAGTCTCTTCTACTAGTTACATGATTTCTCTTCTCCCATAGCACCAAGAGAATCGACTCAATGGCAATGGGTTTGTTTGTTTTGTTATGTTTTATACCTCCAAAAATAACCAATAGATTCCTTCTGTGGCTATCTCATCACCTGCTGTATTTCTGTCCTACCATTATTCATGAGTTGACCATATTGAACTACCCATGGATCATCATCTAGTACCAAAGGCAACATCTGGTTTCCCCACACCTATACAATATCTATAAATACATAAATTTACTCTTTTGTACTACACATGCTTGCCCATGCCCCCAAAAATGATTCCCTGCACCCTTAAACACATCAATTTTTCCTTTATTTAAATTGAAAAGATACCAATAAATAACTTTTTGTAAAAAAGAAAAAAAAAATACTCCAGAATACTCAAATGTCACTTTTTAAAGGAGGTCTTCTCTGACCACCTCATCTAAAATAGGTTCTTACCATCCCATTATTCTCTATCATAGCTCTAGCCTATTTGTTTCCTTCAGAGTTTTTATTACAATGCATAACTGTATATTTATTTATGTACTTGCTTACTTTCTATCACCACTACCAAAAAGATCCATGAGGGTAGAAACTAGGTTTATTAGCATAATCAAGTACAGTGCTCTGCACATAGGAAACACTCGAATATTTGTTGAATGAACAAATTCTATCATCTGTACAATTTTTATTTTTTTCTTCTACCCTTGTCCACACATATGCTATGCATGCATCCTTCATTCATTCAACTTCTATTAAATGCCCACTATATCAGTCCTTGTGCCAGCTTTCAGGATACAAACAGAATCCCTATCCTCAAGGAGTTCGTTCTTGTGGAGAAAAGAAAGAAGACTCGCTACACAAGAAACAGAACCTCATATCATATTTTAAAATGCTTAAAGGTTACCCACCAAAAAGAAACAAACAATAATATCAAGTGTTGGCAAGGATGTACAGCAACTAGAACTCTCATACACTGCTGTTGGGAGTGTAAAACAGTAAAATCACTTTGAAAAACTATTTTGCAGTATACTGAAGCTGAACGTATACATATCCTATGACTCAGCAATTCCATTTCTAAGTATACACCCCAACAGAAATATTTACATATGTTCACAGAAAAACATGTACAAGAATGTTCACAGCAGCATTATTCATAAAAACTGCAAAATGGAAACGATCCAAATATCCATCAACAGAAGAATGGATAAATGAATTGTGATATATTTATATAATGAAATACTATACAACAGTGGGAATGAATAAACTATTATGACATGCTATGAGCTGGAACCGACAACAACACACAGAGCAACATGGATGAATCTCAGAAACAAAGCTGAAAGAAAGCAGACAAATACCGGAGAATACACACTACAGGTTTAAAAGGCAATACCAATCTATGGTGTTCAAAATGAAGACTATGGTTACCCTTCGTTGCAGGTTGTCTTGGTCATCTAGTGCTGCTCTAACAGAAATACCACAAGTGGATGGCTTTAACAAAGAGAAATTTATTTCTTCAAAGTAGGCTAAAAGTCCAAATTCAGGGTGTCAGCTCCAGGGGAAGGCTTTCTCTCTGTTGGCCTTCTCATCAATGTTCCCCTGGACTAGGAGCTTCTCCACGCAGGGACCCCGGGTCCAAAGGGCACGCTCTGCTCCTGGCACTGCTTTCTTGGTGATATAAGGTCCCCCAACTCTCTGCTTGCTTCTTTTTCCTTTTATCTCTTGAGAGATAAAAGGTGGTACAGGCCACAACCCAGGGAAACTCCCTTTACATGGGATCAGGGATGTGACCTGGGTTAAGGGTGGTGTTACAATCCCACCCTAATCCTCTTTAGCATAAAATTACAATCACAAAATGGAGGCCAACCACACAGTTCTGGGAATCATGGCCCAGCCAAACTGATACATTTCTGGGGGGACATAATTCAAACCATGACACAGGTACTGACTAGAAGGGGATCAAGGAGGCTTTCTCCCTTCTCCCTCTCTCCCTTTCTTTTTTCCTTCTAGATCGGGTGTGTCTTCACTTTCAGAACCTTTTTGGAAGCAAAATATAAGGGTGAAATCTAAGCTAAATCTCGTACTGCTGCTAGATTAATAGTAGTTAAAAAAAAACTCACCATTTTCCTTTTAATAAAGGAGTATCTGCAAAAGAGTTTATAAGTGGAGTTGTTAGGAACAGTTCTTTACATTTATATTATGCATTGTAGCTTAATATTGAGGCTTCTGGGGTTCTGGTGATATTCTGTTTCTTGATCTGGGTGCTGGTTATGTTCACTCTGTGATAACTCACTGAGTTGTACACCTATGATTTGTGCCTTTTTCTGTATTTTTATTATATTTCAATAAAATGTACAAAAATGCTTAAAGTTATGAAATAGGTAGTATATACAACAGAAGTTTGGAGATGGAATTGAATGACCTAGAGTCATCAAGAAAGACTTCACTGAGAAGCCTTAAGAAGTGGGCAGGACAGAGAAGGTAGAGAGTGAGAAAGCAGAGGTGAGGAAGCTAGGTATAGTAAAAGAGAAAAATACTGAGTCAGAAGACCTGGACTGAAACTCTAACTCCACCTATCTCATAAATGTGTTTTGAGAACCTAGCAAAATAATGTATGTAAAAGAGATGTGCAAACCACAATGCATAATATAAATGTAAAGAACTGTTCCTAACAACTCCACTTATAAACTCTTTTGCAGACACTCCCTTGTTAAAAGGAATATGGTGGGTTTTTTTTTTTAAACTATTATTAATCTAGGAGCAGTACTAGATTTAGCTAAGATTTCACCCGTATACTTTGCTTCCAAAAAGGTTCCGAAAGTGAGGACACACCCAATCTAGAAGGAAAGAAGAAAGGGAGAGAGGAGGAAGCGAGGGAGTGAGGGAGGAATTCAAGCAATTCTTGAATATCATGGGTGATGTTCAAGCATTTCTTGAATACCAGGGCTTCTGGTGGCGCAGTGGTGTTAAATGCCCGGCTCCTAACCGAAAGGCTAGCAGTTCAAACCCACCAGCCACTCCATGGGAGAAAGATGTGGCAGTCTGCTTCCCGGATGATTACAGCCTTGGAAACCTCATGGGGCAGTTCTACTCTGTCCTGTAGGGTCACTATGAGTTGGAATCGACTCGATGGCAATAGGTCTGGTTTTTTTGTTTTGTTTTGGTGTGTCTCGTTCTTTCAGCAAAACTATAAGCTCCACCAGGGCACAACCCATCTCATGCTTCTTTTATTTTCTGTCCCAATGCCTCACACCATTCTGGGCATGGAGTTGGTACTCAATAAAAGCTAGGTGGATTTTTTTTTAAGAGAAGGATAAAATGGAGAAAGTCCAGAAAAGAACCGCAGGAATGATCAAAGGGACGAATAAAAGGTCCTAGTGGAAAGAAAATGAATTGAGGCTGTTTAGCTTGGAGAAAAGGCAACTGAAGAACTAAGGAGTAACTTCGAACAACAACACTTGAGCTGGAAGAAATCTCAGAGATCTTCTAATTCAACCTTTGCATTTCGGAGATGAGGAAACTAAGACCTAAGGAGAGGCTGCAACTTGCTTAAGGTAATTTTAGGACAAATTAAAAAAAAAAAAAAAAGTTTCACTTTATACAATAAAGAGAGAAACTTACCAATACTTCCAAGTAGCATGAATATAAACAGCAACGAAAATAGCAGTTACAACTTACTGAAGGTCTCCTGTATGCCCAGCACCTAATATGCTTGATGTTTTACTTACATTATGTCACAATCTTGCAAAGTAGATTATATTTTTTCCCATTTTACAAACGAGGACACTAAGGCTCAAAGAAGTAAAGTTTATTAAGGGGTAGAACATGTATTCAAAGCTATGTTCTCTCCCCTATACCAAAAGCTGCCTTCCCACATCTGAGTTCAAAAACATAGGCTCATGCATATCTAGAATCCAGATCTTGATTTCTATATACCATTCTCCAATAAAAGAAACCAAGACTCTTTGGAGAAATGGCTGAATCTAGGGCTGTGGCAAAGAAAATACATGAGCCTCAAACATCTCACAGTGTCAGGAAATAAAGGAATGCTCAAAAAATGGAGGTTCCTGATAAAACCTCTCAGCAAAATAGGAATAGAAGGGAAATACCTCAACATAATTAAGGGCATACATGCAAAACCAACAGTCCACATTATTCTCAACTGAGAAAGACTGACAGCATTCCCTTCGAGAACGGGGGAATCACCACTCTTATTTAATATTGTACTAGAAGTCCTAGCTAGAGCAATAAGGCAAGAAAGGGAAATAAAAAGTATCCAAACTGCAAAGGAAGAAGTAAAACTATCCTTATTTGCAGATGGCATGATCTTATACATAAAAAATCCCAGCGACTCCACAGGAAAGTTAGTGGAACTAATAGGAAGATTCAGCAAAGTGGCGGGATAGAAGATCAACAGGCAAAAATCAATTGGGTTCCTCTCACCAACAAGCACTCTGAAAAGGAAATCAAGAAAACAATACCATTTACAATAGACCCAAAAGGATAAAATACCTAGGAATAAACCTAACCAGGGACATGAAAGACTTATACAAGGAAAACTATAAAACACTACTGCAAGAAACTAAAAGACAGCTACATAAATGGGAAACCATACCATGCTCATGGATTGAAAGACTTAACACTGTGAAAATGTCAATACTACCAAAATCGATGTATAGATGTAATATAATCCTGATACAAATCCAATAACATTCTTTAATGAAATGGAAAAACTAATCTCCAACTTTATATAAAAAGGAAGGAGGACCTGAATAGCTAAAGCAATACTGAAGAACAAAGTAGGTGGCCTCACACTTCCTGATCTCAAAACTTACTATACAGCCATGGTAATCAAAATAGCCTGGTACTGGTTCAATGACAGACACACAGACCAGTAGACTAGAACTGAGAACCCAGAAGTATACCCATCCATCTACAGGCAGCTGATCTTCGACAAAGGGTCAAAGTCCATTCAATGGGGAAGACACAGTCTCTTTAACAAATAGTGCTGGAAAAACTGGATATCCATATAAAGGAAAATGAAACACGATCCATACCTCACACCATGCACAAAAACTAACTGAAAACGGATGAAAGACCCAAATTTTAAAGCAACTATAAAGTTCCTGGAAGATAATATAGGGCCAAAACTAGGGAACCTACTAATATTCAGCACATAATAGCCCATCAAACAAAACTAAAAATACACAAATGACAGAAGGTATGTTAGATAACTGGGACCTCCTAAAAATTAAATACTTATACTTATCAAAAGACTTTACCAAAAGAGTAAAAAGAGAACCTACAGACTGGGAAAAAATCTTTGGCAATGGCATATCTGATAAGCATCTAATCTCTAAAATATATAGAAAACTTCAACAACTCAACAACAAAAATACAAACAATCCAATCAAAAAATGGGCAGAAGACATGAACAGGCACTTCACCAAAGAGGATATTCAGGCAGCCAACAAATACATGAAAAGATGCTCACAATCATTAGCCATTAGAGAGGTGCAAATCAAAACTACAATGAGATACAATCTCACTCCTGCAAAAATGGCAATGATCAAAACCACAGAAAACAACAATGATGGCGAGGCTGTGGGGGGACTGGAACTCTTATACATTGCTGGTGGGATTGCAGAACGGTACAACCACTATGGAAAACAGTATGGCATTTCCTCAAAAAGCTAGAAACAGAAATACCTTATGATCCCACAATCCCACTCCTAGGTATATATCCTAGAGATATAAGAGCAGTGACACAAATAGACATATATGCACACCTATGTTCATTACAGCATTATTCACAACAGCAAAAAGATGGAAACAACCTAAGTGCCCATCAACGGATGAATGGGTAAACAAATTGTGGTACATACATGCAGTGGAATACTATGCAACTATAAAGAATAATGAGGAGTATGCAAAACATCTTATAACATGGATGTATCTGGAGGACATTGTGCTGACTGAAATAAGCCAATTACAAAAAGGCAAATATTGTACGGTCCCACTGTTATAAAAAGTCAAGAACAGATACACACACAGAAAGCAAAGTTCTCTGATGGTTACCAGGGATGGGAGAGAGAATCACTTTCTAGATAGCAGATACCTTCTGGTGATAGGAAAGGCAATCCCAAATATGGGAGAAGTCAGCACAACCTGACCAAGGTAAATAACAACACTAAGAAGTACAAGAGGAAAGGGACAATTTCGGCAAATGCTTTAACACATACAATTTTGCAACAACAGTAAAAACAACCAAAAATTATGTGTGGGTTACATAAGTAGATAAGGATGCATATATATAGGAAGTTATATATGAGTAAGTGCACATGCATGTATAGGTGTATCTGTAGGCATATGTATATACATGTTTGTGTATGCTGCATATATATCCACATATATAACAAACCACATGGGAGCACATCTATGAAGGCTTCCTAGACATATCCAAACAACTCACAGGATTGGTTTACTGGGTTAAAAGGCTCAGGAAGATAGTCTTGGGGGACAACTTAGTCAAATGGCATCATATAGTTCACAAAGATAACATTCTACATGCTAGTTTGGTAAGTAGTGTCTGGGATCTTTAAAAGTTTGTGAGCAGCCATCTAAGATACAACTATGGGTCTCTACTCATATGGAAATCAAAGGCTCAAAGAAGAAACTAGTCCACAGAACTAATAACCCACATAAACCACAGCCTCCTCTAACCTGAGACCAGAAGAACTAGATGATGTCCGGCTACCACTACAGACCTTTCTGACTAAGGACACAACAGAAGGTCCCGGATAGAATGGGAGAAAAATATAGAACAAAACTCAAATTCCTAAAACAAGTCAGACCTACTAGACCCACAGAGACTAGAGGAACCTCCAAGACTATTGCCCTAAGATACCCTTGAACTTGAAATTGAATCCATTTCTGCAGGTCACCTTTCAGTCAAATAACAAATTAGCTTACAAAATAAACAATATCACCCATGAGTAATGTGCTCCCTTACACAATGGTCAACATTTACTCAAAAGTGAAGATGAGACAGCAAGGAGGGGAAGGGAAGCTAGATCAATGGAAACAGAACAAACAGAATGGAAATAATGAGATTGCCGACATACTGTAAAAACTGTAACCAGGGGCACGAAACAATTTGTATAAAAATTATTAACCAAACCCATGAGTTGATTTCAACTCATAAAGACCCTATAGGAGAGAGGAGAACTGTCCCAGGGTTTCCAAGGAGCGGCTGGTGGACGCAAACTGTCGATCTTTTGGTTAGCAGCCAAGGTTTTAACTGCTGCACCACCAGGGCTCCAAAATTGTTAAAGGGGAATCTAATTTGCTGTGTAAACTTTCACCTAAGACACAAAATGTTGTTTAAAAAAAAGAAATGATGTAAGTGTGTCAAAAAGACACAGGAGCAAACTTCAAGGCATTCCCAACAGCCAAAGCTGGGAAAATTAGATCAACAACAAAAAAAAATAATGAGAATAATTAATTATAACCCATAGGAGAAAATAAATATCCATGAGTTCATATTGATGTAAACAGTTGATTAAATAAATAAACGGGGAGAAATGACAGCTCTTCCTTACGGCAGAATTCTAATCAATAAATGTAGTAGGAATGATGAAAATAGGAAATCACTGTCTTAGTTATCTAGTGCTGCCATAACAAAAATACCACAAGTGGATGGCTTCAACAAAGAGAAGTTTATTCTCTCACAGTCCAGCAGGCTAGCAGTCCGAACTCAGGGTGCCGGCTCCAGGGGAAGGCTCTCTCTCTCTGTCATCTCTGGAGGAAGGTCCCCACCATCAGTCCTTCCTTGGTCTGGGAGCATCTCAGTGCAGGAACCTCAGGTCCAAATGACATGCTCTGCTCCTGGCACTGTTTTCTTGGTGGTATGAGGTCCCCCTGTATCTCTGCTCGCTTCTCTATCTCAAAAGAGATTGGCTTAAGACACTATCTAATCTCGTAGATCTCCAATATAACTGCCACTAATTCATTTTATTACATCACAGTGATAGAATTTACAACACATAGGAAAGTCACATCAGATGATAAAGGGGCGATTATACAGTACTGGGAATCATGACCTAGCCAAGCTGACAGATATTTTGGGGGGACACAATTCAATCCATGACAATCACCATTAGGGAAATATCATAGTAATGACAGTTGCAGAAAAGAACCATCAATGGATGCTAAAATTAGTGGGCAAAAATATGATGAGAAACAAGATGGTTACATAGTCTCAAAGTATCTCCTAACAAAATACCTATTAATTGCAAAGGAAAAAACAATAACTTTATAGTGGAGAAACCTGACAGATACCACCTTAACCAAGTGATCAAAAGTTAACATCACCAGTAAAAAGACATACTGGCATCATGTACCCCTGATATGATACACTGAGAAGGGAACATCACTTTTGCCAAAACTGCATAACCTCAATCTAATTATGAGAAAAGAGCAAACAAACTACATCAAGGGACAGTCGACAAATAACTGGCCAGTACTTGACAAAAGTGTCAAAGTCCTGAAAACACAAAGAAAGATTCAGAAATGGTCACAGATTGGAGGAAACTAAGGAGATATGACAACGAAATGTAATATGGGATCCTGGACTGGATCCTAAACCCAAAAAAAGGGCATTAGTGAAGGCAACTAGTAAAACTGGAATAATGTAAGTAGGTTAGTTAAGAGTATCATATCAATATTAATTTCCTGGATTCGACAACTGCATAATTGATCATTATTATGCAAGATGTTAACATTAAGAAAAGCTAGATGAAATGTATATGGAAACTCTACTATTTTTGCAACTTTTCTGTAAGACTAAAATTATTTCAAAATAAAATTTTAAAAAGTAGACCCATCAAAGAATGACAGCTTCAGGAGGTTATTTAGAAAGAAAAAGATGAGAATACAATGTTCCCAGATTTTTTAAATAACAGGATTATTTAATTATAACATTACCTTAGAGATCATCTGATATTACCACTCAGCCAATGAAGGATTCCTTTATGTAACGCCCTTGACATACAATCATCCAACCCTTACCTGAATATATCCAGTAACAGTAAATTCAGTATGTCAAAATGCAGCCCACACATTTCATTACACCATAGTTGTAATTAACACAAAGTTCTTCCTCATTCTGAGACAAATCTGCTTCCTTGTCAGACATGTACCTGAGAATGCCATTCTTAAGGCAATAGCTTCCACCAAGAGGACCTCAAAAGTGAGAAGATCTGCTAGTGAGGTATATTCAATATGTCCAAATGTCCAATTTATTTACATTAGCTAAAATTGCATCTGATCAGTATAAACCACATGGACGATTTGCTGTAATGCTATCCCAGAGCCTAACACAATACCTGGTACATAGTAGGTGGTCAAGAAATGTTTATTGACTGAAAGAGTAGGGCACAAGTCAGGGATTCTTAAACAGTATTAAAATTTTCTCGTCAACAAAAAGTAATTATAACATTCTCCAACCCTGAAAAAAAAACATCTGCATGACCATCCAAAGCAGTCTGGACAGGCAGACTCTTCGTTCATTCTCCATACATTTAGTGCCCACTCTGTGCTAGGCTTAGTCAGAAGCCCAAGAAATACAGAGACAAACAAGACATAGCCTCAGAAAAGCAGGAGAGGAAACTACTCCATATTAAAAAATATACTTTTACTATTAAAAAAAGGTTCTGCATCCCACTTTGGTGAGTGGCATCTGGGGTCTTAAAAGCTAGTGAGTGGCCATCTAAGATGCATCAATTGGTCCCAACCCACCCGGAGCAAACGAGAATGAAGAACACCAAAGATACAAGGAAAATACTAGCCCAAGAGACAGAAAGGGCCACATAAACCAGAGGCTCCATCAGCTTGAGCCCAGAAGAACTAGATGGTGCCCGGCTACCACCAATGACTACCCTGACAGGGAACACAACAACGAGTCCCCGACAGAGCAAGAGAAAAGTGGGGTGCAGAACTCAAATTCTAGTAAAAAGACCAGACTTAATGTTCTGACTGAGACTGGAGGGGCTCCAGAAGACATGGCCCCCAGACTCTCTGTTAGCCCAAAACTAAAACCATTCCTGAAGCCAACTCTTCAGACAAAGATTGGACTGGAAGATAAGTCATGAAATGATACTCATAAAGAGTGTGCTTCTTAGCTCAAGTAGATACATGAGTCTAAATGGGTAGCTGCTGTCTGGAGGTGAGATGAGAAGGCAGAAAAGTACAGGAGCTGGTTGTTGAATGGACGCGGGAAATTCAGGATGGAAAGGAGGAGTGTGCTGTCACAGTATGGGGAGAGCACTAGGGTCATACAGCAGTGTGTCTATAAATTTTTGTATGAGAAACTAACCTGAACTGTAAACTTTCATTTAAAGCACTATATATATATATATATATATATACTTTTAATATAATTATATATAGCAAAAATAAGTTTTTAAAAATTGCATAAGATATGAAAAAAAGTTAATGGTTACAGAAAAAACTCATATAAATTGGCAAGAAAAAATAATAAATTCCCAGTAGATAAATGGAGAAATGATATAAGCATACAATTTTCACAAACAGGAATATTAACTGGTAAACATGGAAAAAATGTTTAACCCTGATAGTTAAACAAAAAAAATACAAAACAAAACCAGGTAACATTTTCTACCTAATTAGTTTTTTAAAGAAAACACCTAATTTGGGGGAGAATTATGATGAAAAACTGGTCATATATACATTGCTGGTAGCATTATAAATTAAAGCAACTCTTTGAAGAGGCAAACTGTTCATACTTTATGAGGGTACATCTTCCTTGCAATTAATTTTTAGTAAATAATTTTTAAAAAATTTAAATATGCCAAGAAAATGTTAACTACATCAAAGCCTATGATGGTTGGAAAAAATTAGGAATAATTTTATTATCAAATAAAGGCTAATAGAATATCATGTAGCCATTAAAAAATTTAATCACAAAGTCTAACTAACAAATGAATAAATGCCTGCTCTAATAAGTAAAGAGGCAGAATATAAAATTCTATGGATATTTGTTATGGTCCCTGAGGAAAAAATCGGTACACATACACATAAATGTTAAGGACTAGAAAGGACTAGTAAAACGAAAATATTAATGATTTCAAGTTTGAGGTCATAGGTGATTTTTATTTCCTTTATTACTAAATTATTTGTACAATTAAGGCAAATAGGGGAAAAATCCCTCAAGGAAGGCCCAAGGTGAATTACATTATAATGAATCATGTGGTGAAGGGTAAAGGGTAAACTAAGGCCTCAAATTATTGCTCCTTGGATTTTATATTCATTAAGGGGGGGGGGAGGGGACTATATTTTTCAGCCCCTAATAAGAGTGGCACAAAGAAGCTATGAAAAGAAAACTGAAGAAAAGTTAACTCTGAGATGAATATCTGGAAAGACTCCCTAACAGTAAAAATCATCAGACTATAGCATGGTATCCTAGGCTAAGTTCCATTGCTAGGGTATTTAGAAGCGACACCCTAGACACTATACTGTAGGAATCAGTCCTGAGCTGGCACCACAGAGACCCAGAAGTGGTCTCATGAGGTTTTTCCATCACACAGTTTGGTTGGCTAATCTATAAATACATGACATTTGCACATAAAAACTAAGGTTTTCATACTAAGCAAAGAAAAACAAACCTTACCTGAGAAGTGCCAGGCAGCATCCTGCCCCACTGTTCTTGGGTAGGAGAAACAGGTATCAATCGGCTGCATATTGGAACCCACTGGGTGATGCTAGTTTGGTTCCTCTAGAGAAAGAAAAAAAAAAATTGTCTGCCAGGAATCTATATCAGACTCCATATCTAGAAGACAAAGAGGGTGCTGCCAGAACAATGCACATGACAGGAGAAATTTCAAAATGAGACCAAGACCAAGCCTCCCCATGCTTCTCTCCCCAAGGATAAGATATATTCCTAACTATTCCTGGCCCCAAGGACTAAAATAATTCTGGCAATAGGAGGGTATGGGCTCCCTCTAGGGAAACAAAATAAGCAGACCTCTGGCATTTTACAATTAGATTATTATTCAAACTGTACTTTGCAATGCCTTTTTATAAACATTAATTTATCTGATCTTCATAGAATTCCTTTATTGTAAACAATGCTGGGATTATCATCATCCCCAAGTAGAGGAAGAAACTAGGGCAGAAATTTATAGGGTCGGAAAACACATGTAGGCAGCTTGATTTCCAAGATAAAAGAACGACTGAATGGCTGTTTGAGTTATGACTGAGATTCAATTTTCCCTCTGGCCTTAGCTGACCTCAGAAGGGTCTCTTGGCTAAAGTGAGAAGCTAGACTGAGGAAAGGAAGAGTTGTCTTGATAAAGGAGAAATTTGCTTTTTTCATGAACCTGTGATACATTTCACTGTATAAATGCCATCCATGTACACAGCACTGGAAATCTCTATTATAGGAACCAACCCTGGCGTATCCAAGGTTTTCTTTCACTTGACTTGTAGATTTAATAGGGCCATAATGAGGACTGGCTCCTTTCTCTTCTTGCTTGGTAATAATAAGGCCCTTTTCCTCTCTGCTTGATTCTCTTTTATATTTCGAAAGAGACTCACTCAACATAAACCTAATCCTGTAGATTGAATCCTACCTTTTTAACATAATTGCCTCTAATCCTGCCTCATTAACATCATAGAGGTAGGATTTCCAACACAGAGGAACATCACATCAGATCACAAAATGATGGACAACCACACAATACTGAGAATCATGGCCTAACCAAGTGGATACACGTTTTTGAGGGACACAATCTAATTTATAACAGCACCTATACAAAAATCCACCAGGGATGCAGCAGCTTTGAGTCCTGGTAGACATACAAACTGAGGTCGGTGTGTTGTAGTGATGTGTTAAATACTGTGAGTAGTACGGTAAAACCTGCGAAAGCCAGAACCCGTGTAAGGCAGAAACCTGTCAGACAAGGAAAACGCAAATATTTTCCAGTAATAAACATTAAGTTGTATCTGAATCTCAGTTTCCTCATGACTAGGCAGGAAGGAGTGGGGTGGGGTAGAGAAAGGGTTAGAATTTTAAACCTAGAGATGCCTTATAAAGTATCTCACAGTTCTAAAATTATACAACTGTTTCTAATAGGAAACTTGCAGCACCTTACATTTCAAATGCAAAGTAAAGTTAAAAATATTTTATTTCAGCTGAGGTTTGATTTGTTGCAATAGTTGTCAAATGAGAGACAGTTATTGACTTTTGGTTTAATTTACAGCTGACAGATTTATGAGACTCAGTCGGTGTCAGATGTTTCTCTCCTAAAAACGTAAACACGGGATAAGATGAAACTTCTACAAGTTCAGACCCAAGGGTGGGGTGGGGGGGAAGGCAAGAGGAAATTACAAGTAAGGACAATGCAAACTTTTGGAAGATTTTCTAAAGAATTTCATCACATTTTTTCCAGTGTCAACAAAATTTTTCTCTGTAATTTTGGCTCTACTTGGTCCTATGCCAGTACTTTAAATTGGTCCTTATTAAAGAGCAATCTGCTCTGTTCTTTCCTTCTCCAATCCTACAGCAACAATTCTTGTTCAAATCTTTAACTGAAACTGCTGAAGTGTGGCAGAAAGGGGGTTTGAATCCTGAGCCTACCATTAAAAAGCTGTGTGCCCCTGAACAAGTTACTTAACTCTTCAGGGCTCTGTTTTCCCTTACATAAAATGGGGAAAATAAAAACTATAATAATGATGTCTTTGTGTTCCAAGGAACATTTGTAAAAGTACTTTGATAACAGCAAAATACACACAAAGACATCATTATTGTTATTAACAATTGTTATTGAATAATGTAAGCAAGCTCCTCTTTCTCCAGCAAACTGTCGTAGCAGCAAAAACCATACTCCTAAAACAATTGTTTTGAACTTGATATTCCCTTTCTCAAAAGCTTGCAGAGGCTCCAAGTACCTCTTTAGTCAAACACCTACCTGATCTTTACAGGTCTTTACCAGCTGGGCCCTTCTTGACTCATTATTAGACTTACATACCCTGCCTTGTAGTCTCCACTCAGGAGTTCCAACACTGAAGAGTCTGGTTTGGAAACCATTGCCGCACTCCACACAAGCTAATCCCCTTGTAGTCACTTACTCTAGGATTCTCTTCTTCACTCCTACCCAAACCATAAGCTCATTTGCTTTATGAAATCCCTCTAGATTCCTAGATTTCCTGACTCAACTAAGTCCTTTTTCCTTCCCATCTATTCCAATACTTCACTTATAAATCTGTGGAAGTATTTATTCTCTTACAGGTATTAATATATTAGGCCTATGACAATTAGCAAACCTCAACTTCTCCCAAGTTCAGAAAAATATTTATAGCCATTCCCAGTGGTTAAAAATATTGCTTTAACCTAGGATAAATAAATCTTTACTAAGTGGGAACTAGTTTGTCTTTGCCTTACCAATACTTGAAAACCAAATTTTGAAAGCCATCTTTCATGGTTTTGTTTCCTGTCCTCATTGTTAGTTGCAAGTGATTTTACATTTGTATTTCAAAATGTTCTGACGTATCAGCTCTTTTTTTTGACTACGCTTTAATCAGTCCAGAGATAAGCCTGTTTCTGCATGCATTTGTAAAGATACATAGTATTTTCCTTGGCTCACTCATGAGCTGGAAAAGATTCTAAAGGTAGTCATCAAATCTACTCCGTAATTCTCCAGTGGTGCCTGTATTCTGAATGCCAGGGACACTAATTCACTTCCATAGTCCAAAGGAGAGATACGACTGCAGCAAACGCTCCTGTAAGTTACAGTGTGGAATGCTACAACAGGATACTTTCCACAGACAAGAGGAGCAGAGAAATGTTCAACCATTCCTTCAAAAATTACTGAATATGCTTTCTCCTCCTGCTTTGTCAGGGATGGCGTTGAGGGGTCTAATCTGAGCTTTCAAAAAGATTGATGACATAAAAGGAGGATTTTAGCAAATCAATAAATACATTAAGGATGAGGGGTTAGGTTTCTATCCGAGAAAACATGGAAAGGCAGAAGTCTAGAACAAACCCTGTGGTACTGAATTGGATACAGAATAACTGGCATGGGCTTTTAATCGATAAATAGATAAAGAAATAGAAATATGTGTGTTTATATGCAAACGTGTATTTCTTACCGCTGTCCTGAAAGGGCCTGGAAGCAATGACACTCCAATAGCAATGAGCACATGTAGGAACAAGATCATGGTTTCTAAATAGGAATATCCACTAAAAGGAACTTTGGAGTTCTTCTTCAGACAAAAGTTGACTCCAGAACAGTGACAAAGAAAAATACAAGAAGAGCTTGGAACATGGTGTTGTATCAGAAAGTAAGAAACTGCTCAGAGAACGGTGGGACATGTCAAAAGAACACAGAAGAAACCAGCTTGAAGGGATCCCACTGGTCAAGTCTGAGACAATTTGAGCATCAAAGAAACGACAGTTATAGATTGTAACTCTCTGAATAAAACAGGAATCCATGAGTCCATACTGATATAAATAAATGAATAAATAAATAAATGGGTGAGAAGCGAAAGCTTAACCTTGCAGTAGAAGTATGAAAGTATCTCCTCACAGAATGTTTATTAACTTTACAGTGGAAAAACCTACCAGACACCAACTTCACCAGGTGGTAAGCTAGTATCACCAATAAAGGGACAAAATGAAATTATGTGCCTTCTGATATGACACAGGAGTCCTTGAGTGGTGCAAACAGTTAAGCACTCAGCTACTAACCAAAAGGTTGGCAGTTCAAATCCACCCAGAGGTGCCCTGGAAGAAAGCCCTAACGATCTACTTCTGAAAAATCATAGCCATTAAAAACTCTATGGATCGCAGTTCTACTCTGAAACATATAGGGTCACTGTGAGTCGGAATCAACTGGACAGCAACTGGTTTGGTTTTGGTTTTGTTTGTTTGTATTTTAAATATGTTACAACGAGAAGAACAATGCATACTATCTGAGGTACTCCTGCCAAAAAAGCATAATTTATGAGGAAACATCAGACAAGTCCAAATTTAGGGATATTCTACCCAGTAACTAGCCTGTACTCTTCAAAACTATCAAGATCGCAAAAGTGAACATGGAGGAACCGTTCCAGGCTTAAGCAGTCTTAAGAGGCATAAAAACCAAATGCAACATGTAATTCTGGACATGATTCTTTCGCTATAAGAGGCTTTAAAGGGACAACAGGCAAATTTAAGTAGGGCCTGCAAAAACTATTACTAGATCAATGTTAATTTCCTGATTTTGATACTTATACCACCCTTGTTTGTAGAAAATACATACTAAAATATTAAAAAGTAATAGACATCATATCTGCAACTTATATTGTTCAGGGGGAAAAGATAGTTTTATAGAGGGAGGAAGTAGGGAAAGAAGGGCAATAAGGAGGGAGAGATAGGAGGAGTGAAAACTGGGCAGAGGGAGGGAAGAAGGGTGAAGGAAAGAATGATAAGGCAAACGTGCCCAAATGTTAACAATTGAGGAGTGAGTTAAGTTATACAGTGAAACAAACCTGTGAGAGCTAGAATGCCACAGGACTGCCTTATTTTTCCAGGTGTCACAACTTTTCCGCCTTTGACAGGATGCAGTCTTACCACTTTTCTATTGCTCCTTTTAGTAGAAAGTATTTGCATTTTCCTTCTCTGACAGGTTTCCACCTTACACAGGTTCTGGCTTTCACAGGTTTTACTGTACCAAAGACTTTTGTTTTGGTTTGGTTTCTTGCAATTTTTCAGTAAATTTGGAAGTATCTCAAAAT